CGTTCTCGCGCCGACCGCGAACCAGTACCGCCGCCAGACCCGCGCTTCCGGTTCCTCCTCGCGCGGAGGCCATCTTTCTTCAGGGCAGCCCTCCTCCCGACGCCGGCGGCCGCCATCTTTGTTCGGTACAAAGCCCTGTTTTGCTTCCGGAAGGTCGGATCTGCACCGCCCCCGTCGACCACGTGTTTTTGTTTGTTTATTTTAAAGTAATGGACGTTATTTTTGCCGGGCGTGGTGGCTCACGCCTGTAATCCCAGCCCTTTGGGAGGCTGAGGCGGGTGTATCACCTGAGGTCAGGAGTTCGAGACCAGCCTCACCAACATGGTGAAACCACGTCTTCTACTAAAAATACAAAATCAGCCAGGTGTGGTGGTAGGCACCTAGCTACTGGGGAGGCTGACGCATGAGAATCGCTTGAACCCAGGAGGCGCAGGTTGCAGTGAGCTGAGATCCCACCACTATACTCCAGCCTGGGCGACAGAGCAAGACTGTGTCCCTCCCCCCAAAAAATAATAATGGACGTTAATTTTTAGAACAGATTTACAGAAAAAATTGTAAGAGTACAGAGTTCCCATGTGCCACACCTCCCTGCAATTACCCCGTTACTAAATTCTTACATTATTAGTGTATTACATTTGTTAAAATTAACGAAGCACTGTTGTTATATTAACTAAAGTGTACAGTTTATTCGGATTTCCTTCCTTTTACTTATGCCTTTTTCTGCTCCAGGTTTCCATTCAGGATACATTAATTTGTTATGTCTTAGACTCCTGTTAGTGACAGTGTCTCAGCCTTTATTTTTATTTTTATTTTAGCTGGAGTGCAGTGGTGTGATCTCAGCTCACTGCAACCTCCGCCTCCCAGGTTCAAGTGATTCTCCTGTCTCAGCCTCCCGAGCAGGTGGGATTACAGGCATACACCACCATACCTGGCTAATTTTTGTATTTTTGGTAAAGACGGGGTTTCACCATGTTGGCCAGGATGGTCTCGATCTCCTGACCTTGTGATTCACCCACCTCAGCCTCCCAAAGTACTGGGATTACAGGTGTGGGCCACCATGCCTGGCCTCAGCCTTTTATTTTTGATGACCTTGATAGTTTTGAGGAGTACTGGCACAATCTTTGGTAGGCTGGCCCTCTATTCGAATTTGATGTTTTTCTCAGGATTAGACTAGCGCTATGGGGTTTTGGAAGGAAGATCACAGAGGTAAAGTGCTATGCTTATCACATCCTACCAAGGAAGGGTTCTTACTGTCAACATTGCTTACCACTGTTGGTGCTGACTTGATCACTTGACTGAGGTAGTGTTTGTCAAGTCTCCGCACTGTACACTTATTCTTCTCCCTACCCCCTTTTCTCTACTGGACTCTTTGGAAGGAGGTCCCCATGCACAGCCCACACATTAAGGAGTTGGGGATTTTGCTCCATCTCCTTGGGGGCAGAGTATCTGCAGAGATTATCTGGAACTCTGCATGGGAGATTTGTTTTTTCTCCCCCATGTATTCAATCATTTGCATCAGTATGGACCATTGTTATTTTATCCTTTGTGTTATAATACAGTACTAATTTTTTTTTTTCTCAAATTGTTCTCATTTTGGCCACGGGGAATTTAAGTGGTTCTTTGTGCTCCTTTGACCTACACCCAGTGTATACCAGTTTATTTGGGTTTGAGTGCTTCTTTCCTTTCTGCCACTACAGGATGCTCCAGGCTCATCTTGTATATTTCCTGCCCCAGTCCCAGAATCCTATTTCTACGAGGAACCCTGATTCCTTTCATTGTAGAATGGCATTACAAACTGGCTGGGCATGGTGGCTCGTGCCTGTAATCCAGCACTTTGGGAGGCTGAGGCAGGTGGATCACCTGAGGTCAGGAGTATGGGACCAGCCTGACCAATATGGTGAAACCCCATCTCTACTGAAAATACAAAATAATTAGCTGGGCATGGTGGCGTGTGCCTGTAGTCCCAGTTACACAGGAGGCTGAAACAGGAGAATTCCTTGAACTCAGGAGGTGGAGGTTGCAGTGAGCCGAGATCATGCCACTGCACTCCAGCCTGGGTGACAGCAAGACTCCATCTCAAAAAAAGAAAAAAAAAAAGAAAGAAAGAAACCAAGGTCTGGGTGCTAGGTGTGCTTCTTGCTGAGATGTCATTTCTTTCAGGCAGTCTCAGCTGACAGAACAAAAAAATGTGTATATACTATTAAACACACACACATATCTATAAATATTTCTAGGTAAACATCTGTACTTAAGCTAAACATGAGTTTATGCTGACATCTCCAACTCTAATCCATTACACGGATCATTGGAGCCTCCTCCCCTTGCTTATCTGTGAATTCCCACCCCAACAGTGAGAGACCTGGCTCCTTCCATCTGGCGGCCACTTTTAAGCTAGGTAAAAGATTACTCATTTTCCAGCAAAGGGAACTCTGGCAAGTGAGAACTGTTGATCATCCACTTATTTGCCTGTTCATCCCATAAACACGTGTTGCGTTGCTGTGTGCCAGATGTGCTAGGCCTTTAGTATTCATCTTGGGTTACGCCTGTACATCGTTGGGACCTGTTAAATGCTAGTTGAAATATCCTGAAAATATTTTTTAAGGTTCAACTTTTTCATATTGGATTTCAAATAATACTTTTGTGCATTTGTTACAAGCCAGACACTATAGGGATCATTCACAGTTTTGAGGGCTGCCTATGTGTCAGATTGTGGGCTACGCCCTGGGGTTTCAAATTTAAAAATTAGGCATACATGGTTCCTGCCTTCACTGACCACATTCAAGTGGAGGAGGAAAAAAAAATCTCCACTTTACAGATGAGAAAACTGAGGCTAAGAGTAAAAAGGATCTGTCCAAGGACACAATTAGTAAGCTGTGAGCTGGGCTCAGATGTGACTCCTGGGCCAAACCACTATAACCACAATACCTGCTCTAACTCCGCCCGTAAGTCGGCCAATCTGCTCTTTCCTCTTCCGGACCCATGTAGATGCCTCAGGAAAAATGAAGGCACAGGTAAGAAGGTAATTGACAGTTAGCAGGTTGCAGCACGTCTATGACATTTGAAATAAATGAGAAAATCCATCTCAGTAATTCAATTTTACATTTAAGCTACCCAAACCATGGGCTTTGAAAACATTACCTGATGCTGGTATAAGGAAACATAATACAAACAATATGGTTGGATTCATTTTGAAATTTAATAAATCAATTCTAATAGTAATAAGAAACATAGTTTATGCTTCTTTTTTAATGAAAACAAACAAGTAATTTTGTAAAAGTCAGAAAACACCAGTATCCTTCTGATCTCATCCTAGATTTTTGTCAGTTGGACCCACTCTAATCAATGGAGGATGCATGTCTGACCCCATCCCAGATATGTGAAAGCAGAAGACACGATGCGTCTATAATGATGAAAGCACAAGCTAAAGGGTATTATCACACCGTGAAGTTTCTTCCTGACCCAGAGCAAATATTAAGAGAAAGACAATATATTTACAAACAAGATTTAATAATGCTCACAAGAATAGAGTTTGCCCCCAAATGGAAAATTACACATTGTTTTGTTTCAAAAAGTTATAAATTTAGTGCCTGAAAAATCCAGCAGGTAAGCAGAAGGACCAATAGGGTCTCTTTCTGGAACTGTTCGCTAGCAAATGAGCATGCTCTGTCCAGGAAGCCATTTTTCTTTTCTTTTTTTTGAGACAGTTTTGCTCTTGTTGCCCAGGCTAGAGTGCAATGGTGCAATCTCGGCTCACCGCAACCTCTGCGTCTCGGGTTCAATTGATTCTCCTGCCTCAGCTTCCCGAGTAGCTGGGATTACAGGCATGTGCCACCACGCCCGGCTAACTTTTTTGTGTTTTTAGTAGAGACAGGGTTTCTCCATGTTTGTCAGGCTGGTCTCAAACTCCTGACCTTGGGTGATCCACCCACCTCGGCCTCCCAAAGTGCTGGGATTACAGGCCTGAGCCACCATGCCCGGACAGGAAGCCATGTTTCATGGGAGGGATATAGGGAGAGGAAGGCGCTATTTACATCCCACTCTGCACAGCTCAGTACCGCCTATTCATTTTCTTGAACTTCTCATAATGATAGTCATCAGTTGCCTTCTCGTTAGCAGGACGCTTGCGGTTAGGAGGGGACCCTGAGAAGGAAAAGAACAGGAAAGGTGGTTTGCCATGCTGGAACCCACTGCTAGACTTTACTCCAGGTAGGCAAAGACAACTGCCTGTTTCCTTCCCCACAGGAGCCCCAGCGCCTAACCCAGTGAAAATAGTAGGGCCTCCGTAGACACTTTGTCTTTTTTTTCTTATTTTGAGATGGAGTCTCACCCTGTTGCCCAAGCTAGAGTGTAATGGCATGATCTAAGCTCACTGCAACCTCCAACTCCCGGGTTCAAGCGATTCTCTTGCCTCAGCCTCCTGAGTAGCTGGGATTACAGGCACCTGCCACGATGCCTGGCTAATTTTTGTATTTTTAGTAGAGACGGGGTTTCACCATGTTGGCCAGGCTGGTCTTGAACTCCTGACCTTAGGTGATCTGCCTGCCTTAGCTCCCAAAGTGCTGGGATTATAGGCGTAGGCCACCGAGCCTGGCCAATACCTTTTTCTTTTCTTTAAAAAAAAAAGATGTGGTCTCACTCTGTCACACAGGCTAGAGTGTAGTCGTCCAATCATAGCTCACTGCAGCCTTGAACTCTCAGTCTCAAGCCATCCTCCTGCCCTAGCTTCCCCAGCAGCTGAGACTACAAGTGTGAGGCACTGCACTCAGCTAACCTTATGAGTAGCTTTTATTTGTCCTTACTGAAATTTTCTGACTTCTTGAGTCTCTACTGTGCTTGAGAATATGAGATAGTATGCTTAATACTGAATTCTCAGAGCAATCCTAACAGGTAGGTTCTATTAGGATTCCCATGAGGAAACTGAGGCTTAGAAAGGGGAAGGCACATAGTCATGGCCCAGAGCATGGACTGGAACCCAGATGCCCCAGCTTCAGTGCCAACCTCCATACTGTCCCCCGCTGCACCCTGCCTCCATGGGCCCCCACAGAGCTGAGCACTCCAGGCAGCCCCGAGGCCTTTGTTGCACTCACGCTCAGGCTCTGGCTTCTCCGTGTCGCCTACTCTCAAGGGCCGGGCCTTGGGCTCTTCTTTGTTTCTCCGGATGGGTGCATTGAGCTCTTCATGATAAACTGGACCCAAAGAGACCAGGGGACACGTTAGACGGAACATGAGGTTCCTAGGGACCTCAGCTCAAATAAGGGAAAGGGGGCAAGACCGCTCTCCCTGAGGGGCTTACATCTGTTGTGCTGCACGTAATTCACGGCCATGTTGGTAGGCACGAAGGAGGTCTCGCTGTCTTTCTTCTTGTTCTGCTGCTCTGCCAGCAGACGGGCCTTGGCATCCTCCGTGGAAATTATATTTTTAATTTTAGCACTATGGAGAGAAAGAAACCACACCACTTAGAAGATGATGGCACCTTACTACTCAGATGTGAGTGGTGAGGCTGGCAGCCCAGCAGGACATAAGAAAATCATGTGTACTGGGACACAGCTCTCCAGTTTACCAAGCACACTTGTAGTCACATTCTCACAGAACTCTCACAGCTGTCAGAGAACCACAGTTACTCTGCTCTTCTGATCAAGAGCAAATTGAGCTTCAGAGAAGTAAAATGCTTAAGGCTCAAAGTTTGTAAGGCCGGAAAAGAGCCTAGAAGCTTCCCAACTTTCTACTGTACCAAAAGATTATTCTGACAATTGCACTTCTTCCATGACAATTCCCTTTTAAAGTGGATATTTTGTTTTAAGAAGGATCATGGGGAGAAGGGGTGGGTGAGCCTTTAACATGGCCCCTGCTAGAAGAAAACAGAAGAATAAAGGGCCTGATACAGCTGTCAACAGAGGCTAAAGAACCACTTTTGCTTTCAGCAGCCAGGGGCCCTTACTACTCTGGCCAAGCCTTCAACAAAACTTCTAGCAACAACCTCCCAGAGACAATCTCGTTTGTATTTGTAGGATTCTAAGGACACAGATAAGAACATGGGGTCTCACTACACTGCCCAGGCTGGTCTTGAACTCCTGGGCTCAAGTGATCCTTCCACCTTTGCCTCCCAAAGAGCTAGGATAACAGGCACAAATCACCATGTCTAGCCTCTTTTTTTTTAAAAAAAAAAAAAAAAAAAAAAAAAAAAGACAGGGTCTTACTCTGTCACCCAGGCTGGTGTGCAGTGGTGCAATCATGGCTCACTGTAGCCTCAACTCTGAGCTCAAGTGAGAGCCCAGCTAATTTTTTAAATTTTTTGTAGAGACAGGAGTCTATGTTTCTCAGGCTGGTCTCCTGGCCTCACGTGATCCTCCTGCCTTGGCCTCCCAAGTACTGGGATTATAGGCGTAAACCACCACACCTGTCTCTCATACATTTTTTTTTCTTTTGAAATAGAGTCTCATTCTGTCACCAGACTGGAGTGCAGTGGCATGATCTTGGCTCACCGCAACCTCCACCTCCCGGGTTCAAGCCATTTCCTGCCTCAGCCTCCCAAGTAGCTGGGATTACAGGTGCCTGCCACCATGCCCGGCTAATTTTTGTATTTTTAGTAGAGATGGGGTTCCACCATCTTGGCCAGGCTGGTCTTGAACTCCTGACCTTGTGATCCACCCACCTCAGCCTCCCAAAGTGCTGGGATTACAGACATGAGCCACCGTGCCTGGCCTGTCCCCCATAACTTTTAACTGGAAAGCACTGTGTCTTCTGCCTATGGGTCTCAAACATACTCGATGCCCAGGTCCACCTCAGGAATGCCACTCAGCATCTGGTTGGAAAGCATTTCCTCGGTCTTCTTTGCTGAGGAAACACGGATGTTTTCGGGAAGTTCATAAAGACAATCCTCTGCATTCTTTGGCTTAACTTTCTGTTCCTCATGTTCCACGATCCCTTTCCTCTTCTTTAGCTCTGTCTCAATGTACTTCATCCTGAAGTGAGAAACACACAGGCCTCAGGGAGGGGCAGGAAACACACCAGGTATCCTCTAAATTAGCGGTCCCCAACGCTGGCCCACAGACCAGTGACGGTCCATGGAGAAACAAGGAAAATACAAAATAACTTGAGTTTTTTCATCAAGTTAGAAATTTTCCACTTAAAGCAGCACCAACCTATGAGGTTATGTCCCACTAATCTATTGGTGTTACGATGTACAGGTTCTTTGAGGACAGAAAGATGATAGTTTGCCAATAGCTTTGCTGGCTAAATAAAAAGTGGGCAAGTCCATGTTTTATCCCTGCAATGTTTTGGGGAAATATTACTAGTCATGAAACCACCTTTGAAAAGAAGTTTTATTTTTTGTTTTTGGAGACGGAGTTTCACTCTTGTTGCCCAGGCTGGAGTGCAATGGCAAGATCTCGGCTTACTACAACCTCCACCTCCCAGGTTCAAGCAATTCTCTTGCCTCAGCCTCCTGAGTAGCTGGGATTACAGGTGCCCACCACCACACCCGGCTAATTTTGTATTTTCATTAGGGACAGGGTTTCTCCATGTTGGTCAGTCTGGTCTCGAACTCCCCACCTCAGGTGATCCGCCTGCCTCGGCCTCCCAAAGTGCTGGGATTATAGGCGAGAGCCACCGTGCCCAGCCTGAAAAGACCTTTTAAGAGGTTTTCAAAGTTCTTAAGCTGGGAGGTAGAAAGAGAGGGGCCAACTTTGACATCTAGAAAATTCTAGAAACGTCATCTATTGACTAAATATCTTGGACTCTGACTGGGGTCCAGCCCCAACTGCTCACAGCCAAACAGACTGACACTTACATGTCTGCATCCTCATCCCGTCTGTTGGTTTCTGCAGAAAACGATGTCCCCAGGTGCAGGTCCTCCTCCTCACTGATCCTGAAGGGAGAGAACAATGAGGCAGAGCTTTCAAGTCACAACTCAGTGAGGCTGAGTTTTATGTTCTAAGAAGAAAACAAAGACACAAGCATTTATAATATACTATTTACAGTTGGCAAAAAAAAAAAAAAATGCTATAGTGTAATATGTAAATGAAAGAAACTCCAGAAATATATGCAAGCAAACTGTTGGCTGCTAGTGATACCTCCAAGGATTGAGTGGATACACTTATCCTTAGGTATCCATGGGCGATTGGTTCTAGTGCCCCTCAAGGATACCGAAATCTGCAGATAGTGAAGTCCCTTATATAAAATAGAGTAATATCTGCATCTAATCTACATACTACCAAGTCCCTTATATAAAATAGTGTAATATCTGCATCTAATCTAGGCACATACTACCATCTGCTTTAAATCATCTCTAGATTACTTTTAATACCTAATTCAATATAAATGCTATATAGTTGTTACAAAAGTACACAGTGTACTTTTATTTTTTAAACTTTTGAATTATTTGAATGTTTTATTTATTTATTGACACGGAGTCTCACTCTGTCGCCCAGGCTGGAGTACAGTGGCGTGATGTCAGCTCACTGCAACCTCTGCCTCCCGAGTTCAAGCAATTCTCCTGCCTCAGCCTCCTGAGTAGCTGGGATTACGGGCGCCCACCATAACGCCAGGCTAACTTTTGTATTTTTAAAAGAGATAGTGTTTCACCATATCGGTCAGGCTGGTCTCGAACTCCTGACCTCAGGTAATCTGCCTGCCTCAGCCTCCCGAAGTGCTGGCATTACAGGCATGAATCACCACAGCTGGCCGGAATGTATTATTTTTGTTAATTGTTTTTATTTGAAACTTTCCCCATGGGTTCACTTATTTTATTTTTTTGAGACAGGGTCTTTCTCTGTCACCCAGGCTGGAGTGCAGTGGTGTGATCACAGCTCACTCTAGCCTCAACCTCCCTGACTCAAGCAATTCTCCCACTTTAATTTCCTGAGTAACTGGGACTACGGGCACATGCCACCACACCCAGAGATATATACACACACACACACATATATATACATGTACACATGTACATGTGTGTACATATATATGTACATGTATTTCTTTTTTTGTAGAGACAGGGGTCTCACTATGTTGCCCAGGCTGGTCTTAAACTCCTGGACTCAAGCTAGCCTCAGCCTCCCAAAGTGTTGGGATTATAGGCATCAGTCATCATGCCTACAACACACTTTTACAAAAGGAGTCTACCAGCTTGGCTCTAAGTTAACTTTTAAAGACTTTCTGCTTTCTTTGTTTTTAAATAACATACCCTTTGCAAAGCACAAAACCTGCTTCAAGATGTCCCACTAATGCTGCTGCTACAGGCCTCAGCTCTCTGAGGGAACCCAGACCCAGGCAGTGGCTAAAGGTGAATTTGCTTATAAGCCTGTCCTGCACTTACTTATCTTTGCCCCTTTCCTTCAGTTTCTTCATATCCACCATACCACCTGTCTTCATCTGAAAGGGATCATCCTGCGGAAAGCAAACACAGTTAAGAGGAAGCACCTAAATAAATGGTAGTGGAATTTGTTTTTTGTAAAGCACTCACTCACTCACGGAAGAGCACTGCAGGGAGGGTTGCCATTGCTACCCAGGGAAGACCCCATAACTTACCACTAGAGTTGTCTCCTCTTGTACCTTCTCTCCCACCAGCAGGGCCACAGCACTGAGCAAAACCAAAACCAGGAGAGGGAGAGAGAGAAATGGCATAATTCAGAGATGAGGAGGAACCCTCTCAGGTATGTGGATTGCAACATTAGTGCAAGGGTGGGATTTGAGGGGTGGGCAGGCAAGCCGGCTGGAAAAGCCTATAAGCATAAAACAGGGCTCAACAAGCACCGTACATGCTGGAAGAAGGGTGGGCTGGTGGTGAAGTGGTACGCTTTCCCACTCTCCTGTAAAGCCATTTGGCATTCTCTTGGCCCGGAAATCTCATTTCTAAGATACTCTCATCATGGAAAGTGCAGCTAAAGATAAATTTTTTTTTTTTTTAAATTGAGACGGAGTCTCGCTCTGTTGCCCAGGCTGGAGTGCAGTGGCGCGATCTCTGCTCACTTTGCAAGCTCCGCCTCCCGGGTTCACGCCATTCTCCTGCCTCAGCCTCTCAAGCAGCTGGGACTACAGGCGCCCGCCACCACGCCCGGCTAATTTTTTGTATTTTTAGTAGAGGCGGGGTTTCACCTTGTTAGCCAGGATGGTCTCAATCTCCTGACCTTGTGATCCGCCCGCCTCGGCCTCCCAAAGTGCTGGGATTACAGGCGTGAGCCACCGTGCCAAGATAAATTTAAAAGAATATCCACTGCAACCTTATTTGATAGTAAAAATTTACAAAATCACCTACATGTCCCAAAATAGGGGATTTGTTAACAAATTACGATACACACATCTGGTGGAATATTATGCAGCCATTAAGAAGGTTTTCTGAAAAATACTCCACAATATGGGTGAATGCCCACAATGTCATAATGAGTTGAAAAGAACAGGGAATAAAAGTATATAGAAAGTTGTTCACAATCTGAGAAAGAGAGAGAGAGAAAAATAACAGATTGGAAAGAGTATTAAATATTAATACCAGGGCATTCTCGGGTGGCTTTGCAAGGAAAAAAAAAATGTTAACACTGGTCACTTCCGGAATGGAGAATTATCGGTGCTTTTTATTGCCTTGACTATACTTTTCTAAATTATACAAACTCTTAACGATCGATATGCATTTCACAATTAACTGGTTTTAAGAAAAAACACGAGTTAGTGACCTGTTTCTGTATCTCTGGAGCACACCCCAAGACGGCACAGCTGAGGGCATGTCCTGGTTAAACATTTGCAAAGAACGCTGTTCTCCAATTTGGGCAGTGGAAAGTGTATAGTATCTCAAGAGAAAAATCTACGTCTGTGGAGATAATTGTGACAGCGACCCGGACGCGGATGTGTCTGTCGTCCCCGCCTCCTCCTCCCGCCGTGGTACCCACCTCACCCCGTTGGGCCTCTTCCTCAAGTTCTGTACCTCTCTGGTCTCTTCCAGTTTTAATCTTTTAAAAAAAAGAAGAAGAAGAAGGAGCAATGCATAGGCTGAGTGACTCCCCGCGGAACCCAAAGCTAACAGAGCCAACAAGGTACCTTCGAGGGCATCCCAGCCCCGCTGCTGAGCCACCAGCACAGGGGTCCAGAGGACGACCTTGTGCCTAGACTCACCGGGAGTCAGAGCCACTGCGCATCCCGGAGGCATCTCTCCCAATTGTGCGGGCTTGGGTTCGCGGCCTCACCACTTGAGCCTCAATTTCTGCGTCCGCAGAAGGAACCACCATCCAGGCTCAGTTAACAATGTCAGCGAAGCGCCCAGCCGGTGGTGAGTCCCCCAAGCAAGTCTATCTCCTACCAGGCCCATGGGAGCCCCGCCCCAAACGCACCGAACCTCCTCTGAGTCCTGCTCATCTTCCTCTGACTCCGAGTCGCCCCGGCGGCGGCGGAAAATCTTCCGGACGACCGGCATGTTGACAATCCCCCAACCGTCCAGCCGCCGCGCCTCTGCGCAGCTGCCTAGGCTGCTTCCGGCGCGCCGCAGAGCGGTCAGAGCGCCTGACCCGTCTGGCCCCGCCCCCGGCACGCACAGCCCGCGTGGCCACGGCCCCTCCCCTGGCGTCAGCCTCTTCCGATTGGACGGCGAAGGGAAGGAGGTGGGGCGTCGCCAGACCACCCCACAACCCTGCGCGGCGCAGCTGAGGGGGCGCGCTTGACTGACAGGCGGCGGTGGCGCGGTTGCGAGCGCAGGTGAGTTCCGGGCCGCCACCGGCCGCATCTGTGGGCCGGGCCTCTCAGAGCATTGGCGACCCCAGCCCGGCTCCGGGCTGACAGGGCCTGGCCTCGCCAGGTACGCCAGACGCTGCGGCCAGGTGAGCGGAGCCCGGGACCCCCGCCCGCCGCCGCCCCTCTCCCCTCCTCCGGTCGGCGCCCAGGGGGTCCTCTGGGCCCCAGCACCCCACTCGGAGCCCACTGGAGGCTCGTGGCTTTTCCAGAACCGGGGCCGCCCCCCTCTTATTTCTGCCGGGGCCTGACCTAGCGTTGAAAGCATCCGCGTGGCGTCTCGCGTCTCGGGCGCTGACTTTTCTTTCCTCGGGCTCTGAGCCCTGACGTGCGTTTTTTTCTTTAGGAACAAAAGATGACCACTTCCCTGCGGTGCTGAATTAGAGTCCCAGCGCCGACCGCCTCACGAATAATGGCCCCCAGCTTCTCCGCGAGGAGAGGCGCGTCTGATGTTTTGAAGCCACGCAGGAGGGTTTGAGCCAGGGGGCTCCTCCTCGGTGCTGGCAGGCCATCCCCCTGGACTTTCACGGGCCTGGTTTTCCTCCTTTGGTCAGGAGGTCTGTCGCTCTACCCTCTGCCCCTTCTCCCCTGAAGATACTGTGAGGATAAAGTTTATTTGAAAAACGGGTATCAGCAAACGCTTAGGAAATACCTAAACGCATAAATAATGGCGTCTAGGACTTTTAAGAACCCCTTAAGTAACAATAGTTTTCCTTTTCACAGCGTCATCCCTTACTTTGAGAACTACCTCTTACTAAGCAGTTACCATGTGGCAGGCCCTGGGCAAAGCATAATCTTATTGAATTCTCCCAGCAATCCTTTGAGGTAGATTGGTTTTCGTTTTACAAATGAGAATGTGGAGTCTCCGAGGGGCAGTGCGCACCTCAAGTTACACAGCTAGGAGGTGGAACCGGAATTGGTTGCAGGTCAGTCTCTGCAGCATGGTTTGCACAGGACCTGGCACAGTACGAGTGCAGTAGATGTTTGCTGCTGCAGCTGCTGTTACATCTCATTGGCTGGGGGGAAGGGCTGATGGGGACTGTTTGGGGTTCCCTCTTCGGGAAGACCATTCCAAAGCAGGGCAGCGTTTCTGGAATGCCTTATGTTTTCTCTGGAACAGTCTCCGCTGATTGTTCTTCTCTTCCTTGGGCTGGAAAAAAAATAGTAGACTCAGGACTTCTTGCACCAGCCTTTTATCTTTGGTCAAAATCCATATATTAAAGTCTCAAAGTCTTGCCCTCTGCAGACTGGTTCAGCCAAACCCAGATGCACCTGCACTCACGGGATGCGGAGTCCCTGTCAGATGATGGAGAGGCTCCTTGGGAATTGCTGCAGGAGTCCGGGGGTCAACGTCTGCAGCTCTCATGCTCTCAGAGGTGGCTCTGAATCTGCCCATCAAGCAGTCCATCCGCCAGGGGGGGTGCTGGACACTACTAAGGAAAGGGCAAGAAGGCCAGGGGCATTTCTGGACCCTCCTCCTCAACTGAAGTCCCAGGGTACAGATGAGCTGCCCCCACCCTTGCTCCGTGAGGCCAGAGGACCCTGTGATACCCACCACCTGTGCTGTGGCAGATCTAATTGAGTGCTGTTTAGCAAAAGGAATGCTGAAAAAGTGGCAGCTATGAATCTGGCAGTAAGTGGCTTTGCAAAGAGACTGCAGCCCAAGTCTTGCTGGGCCCTTTTAAGGCTAGGATGAGACTGCCTCTCAAAAGGACCCTCCCGGAGATACAGATTCTATGCAGTTCAAAGATGAGTCCAAGGTCTTAGTCTTGCTTCGGAGTTCAGTTGTTTAAGAAAATGTACAGATTCATCCTAGGTTAGGTTGGTTTCCTAGCTGCTTTCTGGAGCCAGATGAAATGTTGGCTTGTTTCAGGTTTCAGGGAGCATTCATATCCAGGTGGATTTGGGATCCAGCAACGTGATCCAGTTCACAGCCCAGCTATAGTCAGTATCCAATAAATGTATTTATTGGAGCAATGTATTCAACAGATACTTAGCGTTTACTATATGAAGCAGGCACTGTTCTAAGTGCTTGAAATAAGTCAGTGAGCAAAAGAGACAAAAGATCCCTGATTAGTTGAGTGTATGTTCTGATAGTAACGTATGTAAAGTGTGTTAGAAGATGGTAAGTGCTGTGGAAAAGAAAAAAATAGAGTAAGGTAAGGGAAATCACCTCCGGGAGGGTGGCAGGGTTGAGTTGCAAATTAAAATTAGCACATTCTGGTTTGAATTTGGTTGGGAACATGACAGATAAAGCAGTGGATTGAATGACAGGCCTTGGGTTCCAGTTGCTGCCCGGTGGTTTGAGGGTCTGTAAGCTTGATCTTTATTTTACAAAGGCTTTTATTTAGAGGGTACACCCTGAACTCAAGTCCTGATTATGGGGTATTTAATAGTGATGAAAGAGCCAGGCTTTTCTTAGCTTTTTACCTTAGCAAGACAAACAGATATCCAACTGGTTCTCATTAGCGTGAAGGAGGAAACTTGGAGAAACCATGTAAGTTGACAATAACTTTTTTTTTTTTTTTTAAGACGGAGTCTCGCTCGGTCGCCCAGGCTGGTGTGCAGTGGTGCAATCTTGGGTCACTCCAACCTCCGCCTCCCAGGATCAAGTGTTTCTCCTGCCTCAGCCTCCTGAGTAGCTGGGATTACAGGTCCCCACCACCACACCTGGCTAATTTTTGTATTTTCAGTAGAGACGGGGTTTTGCCATATTGGCCAGGCTGGTCTCGAATTCCTGACCTTGAGTGATCCGCCCACCTCTGCCTCCCAAAGTGCTGGAATTACAGGTATGAGCCACTGTGCCCGGCCAACAACAAATATTTAAAGACAGGAAAGTGGCAGTGCTCTTTGGCTTCAGTGAGCAGTCAGGGCTCAATAAATAGAAATTTCAGGAGAGCCAATTTCCATTGTTATAAAGACTTAGGTTTGAAGCAACTAGAGCTGCCCTGTGGCAAAAGGATGATTTTATCATCAATGACTGCTCAAACTGGGTTTGGAGAACAACCCAATAGGGCTTTTACAGAGCAGAGTTCTGCCTTAAGGGGAAGATGCATGGTTTCTAAACCCCCCTAAACTCTGAGATTGCGTGAGGGAAGCCAGCTGCCTGAAAAGAGAGGATCTGATTTCAGGCCCCAGAAGTCATGATTTTCCTAGTTCTTAGTTTCTGCATCTTTAATATGAGTTTTTTCTAAGGTTTCCAGTCTGAGCTTCAAGACTGAGTTTCAACTCATGCTTACTCACCACCGAGTGTGAGGCTTTTAATGACCAGGGCCAGTGACTGGCTCCAGCCTAGGGTAGCCCCAAGCCCATGCCTTCTCCAATTAAGGGACTCTTCCGGACAGCTGAGAGCAAAGGGCGGTAGCAGGCTTTGGGCTGCAGGGAGATACTGTCATATCCTAGACTGAAGGAAGTTAAGCTGAGCAGAAAAATGCTCTGAAGAATGACTCAGAAGAGGCTCTTGTGGTGAGGAAGCTTCCTTGGAGTGTGCGTGTTTGGATTTGGGGAGGTGAAGGTCGTCCCCATGCCAGGCTGGCCAGGGCTGGTTGTGACATCATGGAGCTGAGCGTTCAGAGCACGGGCCTCAGGGCAGGTAGTCGTGGGTTTGAATTATGGCTCTGCAGCTCAGTAGCTGTGTGACCTCAGCCAGTTATTCCACCTCTCTGAGCCTCTGTGTCTCCATCGTTAGTGATGGAGATGGATTTAGTTTGGAACCTTGCCACCTCCCAGGGTGGTTGTGAGGGCCCAGTGAGGTCATATGTGAGAACACCAGACTAAGATGTTAGTGTCAGTTCCAGTATTCAGGGCCGTGGGGCAGTGGGCAGGGCAATGAGGAAACACAGAGGTGTGTGGGCAGCAGAGATAGTGGAGGTGCGGAGGCATGAGGAGGCCTGAGGGCTCTGCTTCCAGAGTCAGGATGGTGGCCTCCGAGTGAGGACTGGGTTAAGGGAAGGGGTGGGTGTGTCTGGGACTTAGGGAGAATGCTGTTGTGTGGAGGTGGAGTGAAGACAGCACGAAGGAGAGAAAGGCTGTGTGCTGTGAGGGCCAGAGGGGAATGTGGAGGGGGTGGGCGCACACCCTATGCAGGGCTGGGGGTGTGAGATGACTAATGTGGTTGGGGTCAACGTGGGCAGGACTGTGGGCATCGTTGTGTGGGTGGAAGGGCCAGAAGTGTCACCCTCCCCATCCTGAGGGACTGGTTCCTTGCTGGGAGGAGGAGGATGTAGCCAGGACCTCTGGGAAACCGTGAGTAACAGGCACCAGAGGCAGCCAGGTCCAGATGTGCTGCCTGCCTGGGCCCACAGGCTGTGCTGGCTGGTCCCTCCCCTGCCGCTCTTCAGGCCTTGCCCCTCCACTTTGCGCCTGTGGGTGGAGTGGCACTTTCCCCCTCCTTGGAGGCTCAGGGAAGGAAAGCTGCCTTTATAAGCCTGAAGCATCTTGTAGGTCTCCTGGGGCCAGCAATGGTGGGCTCTTTGCCAAAAGTCTCAGGCCTTCCTCCTCCCATCCTGTGCTCTCCTGCCCCAAGAGAGGAGGCTCTGGTGGGCCGGGAGGGCCGGGCACACCCTGCACCTTGCTGACTTGTCGCACAGTAGGTCCTACTCTGCGCGGCTGCACCTCGGAGCACGTTCTTTCAGCTGCACAGGTGTCTTTCCTTTTCAGCCTTTATGAAACGCCTGCTGTGCACACTCCATATATTTGCACAGAGGCACAGGTGGGACGGGAAGAGTGGGGAAAGCAGACACA